TAGTTATTGATTGTAGATTTGTTTGTTTTGTCTCTTTTTTAAAAAAATTTGACTATGCTTGAGCAGGCGGACTGTGTGCTCTTTGTTGTTTGCTCGTTGTGGGCACAATACCTTTCGCCTCCTCCTCCAATTGGCAGGGTCAGTCACTCAGATATGGTACAGCAGGGCAGGTCTAGTTGAAGAGGAGTTACTGGGATAGGTTGTCTGTGGCACTCACTACAGCCACCAAGGGGGGTCAGTAATCAGTGCAGGGCAGGTTGCAGTAGGCCATGCCTGTGCTGCTTGGTGATGTGATGTCAAGCACACGGTGCAGGTAGGCAGGATGTAGCAGGCAGATTGTTATGTGTAGAGCTAAGATGGATATGGGAGAGAGGAGAGAGGAACAGGAGCCAAAAACATACAAACAAACAAAAAAGAATGCTAGGGGAGCTTGCCATTGGAGTGGAGAGAGGAGAGACTATGAAATGGAGAAAAACAGAAAGGGGAACAGGAAGAAAAGAAAAGAATGAATAAATAAAAATCGGAAAGGTTAAAGAAGCATAAATTTCCCAGGGATCCCAGCGGTGCAGCTATGAGGTCTGGGGAAGTCGCTCTCAGGTGTTGCAGTACAGCCTGGCTAGAAGTCATAGAGGTATACAACGCCAGGTATTCAGGGAACAGAAGGAGAAGGAAGATATAGAGAGACGAGAAACTAAGTAATGAAGAAAGACAAAAAGGGAAAAAGAGGGAAAAGAAAACAAAACAAATTAAATAAGAAGAGAACAAGAAAAGCCCCCCCAAAAACAGAAAGAAAACAAAACTAGAAATGTCCTCAGGGATCCCTCTGCACGTCTGTGCAAGCCAAGGGGGTAGTCTCCTTGCCCCGCAGCATCGCCTGGCCAGAAAGGGCTCCCAACTCAAGAAAAGGAAAAGAAAACAAACAAAAAATTTAAAACAAACAAACAAACAAAAGCCCTGGGATCCCATCAGTGCAGCAGCCCAGACCGGGAAGCAGCTCCACACTCAAATGGAGTGCCACAGCCCCTCAGGAAGAAGCAAAGATGGCAGGTATTTGAGCGAAAGGAGGGGGAGGTGGTGAGAGGTAAGGAAGAAATCAAAAGAAGCAGAAAAAAAAAGCAACACCAGCAGCCAACAAATGGCACTCAGAGGGCCAGCCCGTTTGGGTGTGTGGAATCCAAGCAGCCGGTGTTTCCCGGACAAGAGATTGTGGCCACGGGCAGCAGAGGAGGCCGAGTGGGGTGAAGAAGGGTGGGGGGTGGGAAAGCGTATATTGCAAATTACCGGTTGTTTTGTCTCCCGCTGGAAGCTCCGTGAAGCTGCTTTCTCGTACCCCCTGTTTGCTGATCTCTGATAGGAGTCCAAGATGGCGGATCCGCGCTGCGTTAGCTGGTAGGGGACCTCTGCATGAATCTCTCCTTGCTCTCCATTCTCTGTCAGTTTTCTCTCTCCATTTGGTGCTTGGCTGAGTTCTTTATCTCTTCATTTGATGTTTTAGGGTTTCAGGATTGTTGTTTTCTCCGTTTGGCTTAGTTTTTTGGATCTTTGCTGTAGAGGGATGTCGTGGTGCTTCTGCCTAGAGCGCCATTTTGCCGGAACTCCTATGCTAATTTTTTAACAGCAATAGCCACTCCCTCCCACCTCAGGGTATTTTTGTAAGTGCCACTATGCCAATTGTTTTTTTTTTACACATAGGTGTAAAAAAAATTGGCATGACACGCTTATGAAAATACCTTGCCACAGAGAGAGCAGACGGCAAGCAAAACGTAGAGGGTGCATGTTATTTGCGTTAAAATGCGATATTTTTACTGCCCTGACAGGGAACGTAATAGGGAGTCCCTGAAGGCACAGGAGAAAAGTGGGGTGCAGAACTCAAATTCTAGTAAAAAGACCAGACTTAATGGTTTGACTGAGACTGGAGAGACCCCAGAAGACACGGTCCCCAGGCTTTCTGTTAGCCCAAAACTAAAACCATTCCTGAGGCCAACTCTTCAGACAAAGATTAGACTGGACTATGGGACATAAAATGATATTCGTGAAGACTGTGCTTCTTAGTTCAGGTAGATACAAGAGACTAAACTGGCGGCTCCTGTCCAGAGGGTAGATGAGAAGGCAGAAAGGGACAGGAGCTGGCTGAATGGACATGGGAAATCTGGGGAGGAAAGGGAGAGTGTGCTGTCACAGTACAGGGAGAGCAACTAGGGTCACATAACAATGTATGTATAAATTTTTGTATGAGAGACTAACTTGAATTGTAAACTTTCACTTAAAGCACAACAAAAAAGCAGTATTTCGGCAGCTGCACTGCCAGCTCTTCTTCTCTCTGCCTCACACACTCCCAAGCAAGCCTGGCTAGTCTCCTTGGGAAAAGCCTGCTGCCTCTAACCAGTTGCCGTGGAGCCAATCCTGACTCATGGTAGCCTCACGTGTGTCAGAGTAGAACTGTGCTCCATAGGGTTTTCAATGGCTACTTTTTCAAAAGCAGATCTCCTGGCCTTTCCTCCAAGGTGCCTCTGGGTGGACTCAAACTTCCAACATTTGGGTTAGCAGTTGAGTGTGTTAACCGCTTGCACCACCCAGGAACTCCCTGTTGCCTCCCGTTGTTTGCATAAAGTGATACATGGATGAATATGAGGGCGGGTGTAGGTGCTCAAGGGTAACAGTATAAAACTCTGCTGGCTTCAAAAATAGGACCTGCTGTGGGGGGGCCATCACCTCAGATTTCTCGTTGGTTTAGACCTACACAGAGCTGGGATATCAGAAGACAACCAACACTGGATTAAATGAGGTAGAGAGAGTATAAGAGAAAATCTAGTTTGTTGTTTTGATAACTTTTGAGGATAGACGCATACATCTCGTAGCAACACTGATTAAATATTACTGTTTTATTTCTCAAGGAGATAATCCTATCAAAAAAACAGTTACAGGGCACCATCTCCAGAATACTCTGCTGAAAGCTCTGAAGGATACAGTTGGGGGATATGAACAATGACATTGGCACATTGCATCCTGGGAAGTTCAGCCCCCATAAGTAAAGCAATCCGGGCAGGTTGGAAATAAAGAACCCAGCAGTTGAGTATACTAGCTTCTCCTTTTCTCCTTTAATTCAGAGTCCCAGAGAACCAGATACAAAGTCATTTTCAAGTGGATATTGTCTAGCTGATACATACTTAAAAATGATGGCAAAGCAGGGTGTGATATATCCCGTATGCAATAAAGCATTATAAGGGAGGACTATGGGGTCTTTAAAGAGAAAATGTTATTTGAATTTAGCTTTTTAAGTTAAGAAAAATTGCAACATGCCAAGACAGGGAGGAAGAAAGTCTTCTACACAGGCTATTACGTGTAGCGCAGAAGCTGGGAACAGTTGGGCCCCTGTGGAAGGAACAGGTATTGCGGTTTAGCTTCACTGAAGCACGTACAGGAGAGCAGTCAGGGATCAGTTTAGAAAGGCGACCGGGACCAGATTGTAGAAGGCCTTGAATGCCAATGGAAGAGTCGTGGACTGTGTTTTGTTGGCAACGAAGAAGAGTGAGGTGCTAGCAAGAGGACTTAAGTGTTTATCCACGCACGTATGACTCACTAGACATGGCAGTGATAGTACACCAGTGATCATTTAGATGGGCTGGTCACTCCAGTATGTCCCCGCCCCCAGGAATCTTCAGGTGAGTGAACTCCTCTGTGGAGGTTATTATAATAAATTTGATTAACAACCTTCTATACCCAGCTTTCCCCCAAAAAAGATTTTAAGATACTACCTTTATCTTATAGGAGCCCGGGTGGCACAGTGGTTAAGAGCTCGGCTGCTAAACAATAGGTCGGCAGTTCGAATCCACCAACCGCTCCTTGGAAACCCTATGGGGCAGCTCTACTTTGTCCTATAGGGTCGCTATGAGTCAGAATCGACTCGATGGCAATGGGTTTGGTCTTTTTGGTTTTCTTATCAGCATTAGAACATATTTTACAACACATGAGGGTATATCAAAACTTCTGAAGATGCTTCCAGTATTTGCCCAACAGATAATTGATTCTGCAACGTGTGCCAAATTATATGAAACATTCTTTTAGAATTTAAAAATAATTGTTTTGTGTTTCCTCAGACATCTTCTCATTTCTGCTGCTATCTGCCCTGAGCCTCACGATTTTCATTTTGTTTTCTGATTTTCAAGACATATACCGTGGAATGGAGGTGAGTGGTATCCGTTTGCACATCTGGAGTGGCTCACTTGTGTAATGGGATCCTATTTGCATTGTAATTTGCAAACCAGTTATTACCATATTCTCTCTGACCACTAAATATTGTAAGGCTATTGCCATTCACAGCTCGGCTGCTAACCAAAAGATCCGCAGTTCCAATCCACCAGCTGCTCCTTGGAAACTCTATGGGGCAGTTCTACTCTGTCTTATAGGGTCGCTATGAGTCAGGATCGACTCGATAGTAATGGCTTTGTTTTTTTCTTGGATTCCCATTTACTGTTGTTATTGTGAACTGTACAGTCAATTCCAGCTCATAGCAACCCTATAAGGCAGAGTAGAACTGCCCCATGAGGTTCCCTAGGCTGTAATCTTTACGGGAGAAGATCATTAGGTCTTTTCTCCCATAGAGCCACTGGTGGATTCGAACCGCTGATCTTTCAGTTAGTAGCTGAGTGCTTAACCATTGCACCATCAGGTTTGCTTTTACTAGAAGGGCAAATAACATTTCTGGATCTCACAAATGCTAGCCTCTGATTGTTTTCATATTATTAGTACTATCAGTTGGGTTCGTATATCTTGCTCACACCTGATGTGTTATGTTTGGATTCTTTATTCTGCCATCTTATAGTAGTACAATAAAATCAATATATTAATGCAATAATTAATTCTCTAAGTTTAGTTTTCTTAAACATATAATAGAAATTCTTCATAACTTAATTGTCAGAGGAAAGAAAAGGCAGACTTCTAGGGCAATTATCTTCTGTCTATCAGACATCAAGTGTAAGGAGTTTTATTTCAGGGACATCATCTGATCCAGGGCACACTGGGTCAACATTAAATCTATCAAGAAGTTTAGAACCCATTATTGGACCCATCATTGTGGGAAAAATGAAAGAAGGATTGAGTCCTGACTGCTAAGCCATAGTTTTGTTACCAAGACAAGCCATGCCAAAGTGAAAGGATGGCATGGCCACCTAAGTTCATCCCTGCTTAAAGGGGACATGCAGATGGAGAGAACTGGGAAGGACTAGGATGGAGGAGCTCCCCTGTGGCCTCAGCTGTCCCAGGAAGCTTCATGATCCTGAAGGATTGGCCAGATTTGATAGGTCAGGATATTCCCAACAAGGAGAACAGTCTACACAGGAGCAGAGAGGGCTAAAAGGGTCTCTTTTGTCTTGGAAATGCAAAAGAATGTAGGGTGGCAGAGATAAAAATCAAAAGCAAAGTTTGTTTCAAAGAACTCCCAGAAGACTGGTTAAAACAGAAGCAGTGTGAGGAAAAAAAAATGCAGTGTAAAGGCATGGATTGACAAAACCACCCAGTGGAATTTGGATTTTTATGCCTAGAGCAACAGGGAGTCATTGAAGATATTTGAGCAGGCTTTTTGGCAGAGTATTTAAGGCAGATTAATTATATGGTGGCAGGAAGTCTACAGGTGAGAGCAGAGAGGCTGTGGAGAGAGAAATAGTTAGGAAATGAAAACCTGAACCATTCATTCATTTATCAAACATTATGGGGCTCCAGAGTGTGCTTGGCACTAAGATGAATGTCTTAGGGTTCTCTAGAGGAACAGAACCAGTAATGTGTGTGTGTGTGCATATTCATGTGTGTGTGTGTGTGTGTGTGTATAAAGAGAGAGAGAGAGATTTGGCTTACATGATTGTGGGAGCTGACAAGTCCAAAATCAGGTGGCAGGCTGGAGACTCTTGCAGGCTTGTGTCCCAAGATGCACAGGTCAGGTGACAGAGTGCAAACTGAAGAGTGAGAGCAAGTTCTGCCAACGTACCTATTTATTGTCTGCAGGCAGAATACACCCTAAGGAAACTCCCTTTTCAACTGATTGATTGACTACATTACATTAGATCACATTATGGAAAGTGATTATATCATTACATTACATTATGAAACAGCAGCTAGACAAGTGTTTGGCCAAACTACTGGGAACCATAGCTTAGTAAAGTTGACACATAAAATTAACTGTCATTGTTACACATGGCATCACCATGAGCTGGAATTGACTTGATGGCAACTAACAACATTACAAAGATGAGTGAGATGCCATCATTGTTCTCAAGTAGTTCAGAACATGATAGGGAAGACAATCACATAGGCACATACTTACAGATTAGTGAGACAAGAGACTTCCAGGCTTAGCGATGAAGAAGAGCTCTCCTGAATCGGGGTGGTGGCTGCTGTGAGGGAAGGGCCCGGCTTTCTACTATAATCTAACTCATTACCATGTTTTACACCATCCCCTAATAATCCTTCCACCCAACCTGCTGTGTTTCACAGCTCTGATAAAGGCTGCCCTACATGGGGAAAAAATGACAAAGCATTACTTTGAAATAACCCCTATCAGAATAGGGATGAGTATCGACGGTGAGCATTTAGACACTATAGAGAGTCTGTGGTTTTAGTCCTCAAGGGAGCCCAATCCCACACATACACAGTCATCCATATTCTACCCTAGAAAGCCAAAACGGGGCTGTGTAACTGTCCTCTTGCTATCGATGCAGCCATGGGAAGTTCTGGCTCTCATACTTATTAAGTAATTGTAGTTCATGGTCATCGTGTACCCTTTAATCCTTAAGACGGGTTGAGTTGGGTTTGCTTAACTTTCATCAAGCTATTAGATTTAGGGCTTGGAACATTTGTTCAGAAATTGTGTACTAGCTTCAATCAAAATAAACTTGTACCTCTGTCCCCCTTATGTTCCACCCATGTGTCAATTTCACTGAAAGAGAGCCAGAGAGAATTCCAAGCAGATTTTGCTTTGGGAGACTTAGAAATAATAGTATTCATGAATGATTTAATCTTATACCCTCTTCTCTCTGACTGAAAAGATAAAACTGAAGAGAGACACATTGGCTCCAAAGTGTCCTCTCTGCTGTTATCTGCAACCCAGGGCATGATTATTCCACAGCCATTGTCAGGTGGTTGAGGGAATACAAACCAAGAGGCAGTCAGTTCTCCCGTCAGTCATGGCTCTGCCATTTATTTGTTGGCTTTGAGTCCCCGGTCAAGGCATTGGCCTTCAGTTGTCTCATCTGGAAAGTGGAGAAAGTAATGTCCACCTTCCAAGTTCAAAAAATTCTTACAGACATTCAATAAGATATTACTATGTATTTATTTGAATTGTAAGGTATGATTTATATGGTGGTACTTCTGTTTCCACAGTTCATCCCAACTATCACATCATGGAGGGTTTTGATTTTGGTGGCAGCCCTCATTCAATTCTGTGTGGCCTTCTTTGTAGAGGTAAAGTAATTTCTGCATGGCTCTTACTATCTTTCTGGGAGGATAAACAAATAAAGGTCTCATTCCCAAAAAGATGTCCATTTTTTAAAGCAACCACTTCAGTCCTTAAAAACTACACATTTTCTTTTTGGCAGAAGTTCCTTGATGATTTAAAATTCTTTGAAGGCTACATAGAAATGCTTCTACACCAAAAACGCACCGCTGTTGAGTCGATTCCGACTCATAGCAACCCTATAGGACAGACTAGAACTGCCCCATAGGGTTTCTAAGGAGCGGCTGGTGGATTTGAACTGCCAACCTCTTGGTTAGCAGCCGAGCTCTTAACCACTAGGCCACCAGGGCTCCAGAAATGCTCTTAGTATCTTCAAGATAGAAAGCAAAGCATCAAATTGATTTTAATTTTGCCTTACATGAAAGCGTTCTATTGTACTTTTCTAGCATTTTCCATAATCTATTAGAGACTAGACTAGATGACCCTCCATCTGGAGAGTTCGGTGAGACCTGTCAGAGTGAAGCGCAGCAGAACTGTCTTAGGAAGGCTTTCCTGATTAACAGAGAAGGGAAGCTATTGTTCATTCTAATCAATTCCTACCCTTGGAGTCTTCCCCTGTAGCTTTTCTTTTCTATTCAATGTCACTCGCTAAGTGACTTTACCTACTCAGTACAAGCCTCGAGTGCTATTTTCTTAAGGCAGCGTTTTAGATGTTTCTTTTTTCTTTTTTTTTAAAAAAAAAGATTCACTTAAGTTTCTTGGAAAAAGGAAACAACCAAAATTTTCAAAATGTACGCTAGTATCTTTATGGGGTTTTCCGAAATTAGAACTGAGGAATATGGCGGATACATTAAAAAAAAAAAAAAACTTTCTCACTCGAGGAAGAATAATTTGAGAAATGCTTTTATTTTTTCAGACTTATCTAGGAGTCTCTTAGTTCCTCAAATCTCAACTGTGTCATACTGAACTTTAAAAGGCCTGCTAAAATTGTACAAGTGATTTGACCAGTGAAAATCGATATAAACCCTTTGGAAAGTAATTTTATAAGGTATACAATGAGCATAAAATTTTTCATACCCTCTAACTCAGATATTCCATTTTTTGAAACTATATTCTTAAATACAAGAGAAAAAATCTACGTGTATGAAGGTATTCATCATACTATTACATACAATGACAAAATATCAGACTCCATTTAAGTGTTCAAAAATAAATGGTTGAACAGCAATTTGAATAAATACTATAGTCATTAAAATTATTATTAAGAAGACTGTAACAACATACAAATTGCATATCACATAATGTATATTATGTGATATTTTGGAGCCAGTAAAAACAAAAGCAGAATACAAAATGTTACCAACCCTATTGTTACAAATGTGTAAAAATTGTGTGTGCATGTGGACAAAGAATAAAAGAGAACTCAAAAAAAGGGTAAAAACACCATTTGATTTCTAAGATTTATCTATTTATCCAACAAACATTTATTTGGCATTTTCTATAGGGCAGGTGGCAGTAGCAGGACTAACGGTGATTTTTTTTTTTCTCTTCTTGATTTTGAGTACATTGTTATCATTTCAGTCTGGCAGTAAAATAATTTTAAGCGAATTACTAGCCAGGATTTAACCAAGAAATCTGTGGCAATGAACATGGTAGCGTTCAGATCTCTATGAACACAGCCCACACTAGTCTAAAGAAGATTCTAGGGAAGCTGCCGGACTTCCTGGAGGTAGCAGGCAGAAGCTGCTGAGAGCTGCAATAATAAACACATTTTCGAGGCAGGCTTGGGCAAACAGGGTGTGGTTTTAAGCAAACTGGCTGTCTGGGGGAAACAGATGAAGATTTGATAGTTTTTTTTCCACCTGAATTTCCAGGATGCTATCCTTCAAAATCGAGAGCTCTGGCTGTTGATCAAGAAAGAATTTGGATTCTACTCTAAAAGTCAGTATAGGAATTGGCAAAAAAAGTTGGCAGAAGACTCAACCTGGCCTCCCACAAACAGGACAGACTATTCCGACGATGGCAAAAATGGAGTCTACGTCAACCTTGGCTATGAAAGCCCTCAACAGATTCCAAAAGAAAAAGGTGAACTGAGAGGCCAGACCACAGAAGAGCCTTTCTTCACCAGACTGTAACCAGAACTGTCATACATGCTTAACAACATCACCTTCCTTCTGAGAAACTAAACCGTAGCGGAGATGACAGTCTACCCTTATCTTTTTCTCTCTCCATCCAAGGATTCCAAGCACATTTCTACTTGCATTGAGCCTTGAGACAAAGGACATAAAACGTTTATTTTGACTGTATCCTCTTACCATTGAGGACAAAAAAATGCATTTCATGGATTACCTTTCGTTTTCTAATAAACTTCCTTCACTTTGTATAGCATTATCCCATTTAAATTACACAGCTTTTCAAGGTAGTGGAATCACTAGTATGAACATCAAAAGAAGCAAGGAAAATTGAGGAAGACTTTGGTCTTTGAAAGTTTCACCAGTGTATCTTTATTTGCATGCAAAGAAATGACAAAAATGTAAAAAAGGAAACTCCCAATAAAATGTCACAAGTTTATTTAAACCTTACATTCATTGGTGAAGAATATTTGTGTACATATCTTTTTCCAAAGTCACAAAAATTCTTTTTTTTTTTTCATTTCTTCTGTGGGGTTCTAATAGAGAAACAAAAATTGACACTTAGAAAATTCAACACTAATTGTAGTAAGCTAGAGTTGTGGGCGTGGAGAATGGTACAGGTTTTTGTTAATTACATGTGATCTTGGCATGGGCACAGCTAACATCGAAGCAAACTCCACCAGAGTTGGACATCTCCAGAACTATATTATTTGGGGGTTAGTGAGCTAGAAGGTCTAGAGTAGATCAAAAAGATGATGGAACCAACTTAAAACATTCTCTTCACTAAAAGAAGTACGGTAGCTTTATTCACACTTCATTACTGACACACGAAATTTTAAGTTCTAACTCTAAAAACTAGCCAGAACTCAGCATTACTCATCTTAAAAAAAAAAAAAATCCCAGAGAAAGAACCCATAACGTTCGCATCTACAGTATGACAATTCTCCGGCTAATAAACCAGTTCTATTTCATTATCTAAATCATCTTATTAGGTACATCTGAAAGACCACAAGAAAGAGTACATCCTTTGCAAACATATTCTATGCACTACTAGCTTTAATATATATAAACCTCACTTAACAAGGAAATGTATTCCTAGTGAACATTCTAAATTGCCTACTACGTCTTCCTTGAAGGAATAAATCTAATTTTGCTAATTTAACAGATCCCAATGGCTAGAAAAGGACATCAAGTTTGGTAAAGTAGAGGGACGGCAAAAGTGAGGCAAACACTCAGTGAGATGGACTGACACAATAGCCGTAACAATGGACTCACAACGATCACCAAGATGGCGCAGGACTGGGCAATGTTTTCTTCTGTTATATGTCAGGTTGCCGTGAGTCAGAGCCAACTTGACGGCAACTAACAACAGCAACAGATCTCGTAGTCATTAATCAATCAGGCCCATTCCATGAGCGCCAATTATGTGTCTAACAGGGGCCTTGAGTTTACAATTCTGAAATCTTTAGGACTGACGAATGTTTTTCATAATCCGTACTCAGCAATTTGCTGCTATAAATAATATTGTACATCTTGTTACACAAACCAACAACAGAAATGCAAATGCCTATAAAACAAACCTCCGTATTTACATTTTGTTTGCTTTTTCCCCCCGCCTTGGGTTCACAGCTCTTTGGAGAGTGATCATTTTCAAATGGTGTCTAATTCAGTGGCTACCGATAAGATTTTTAGAAAAAGATTTTTTTAGCTTATGATTAAGAAATGTATGTTAACCTAAAAAATACTGTAGATCAGATTCCTTGAGCTGACATATCTGAATTTAGTAGTTTGACTTTTAGAATCAGAAGATTCAATTGATACACTGACATTTTTAGATAGTATAAAAATAGACATTTTAAAATCTTGATCTCCATAAATGTACACACAGTCTTTTTTTTTTTTTTTCTTCCTATTTTTCCTAACAACTTATTAGGTATCTGGAGGGTGTTGATCTTTTTTTTTTTTTTTTACGTTTTTTCCTTGGAATATGATAAAGTTGAACTCAGTACTTGACTTTCCTAAAAATACATTTAGAAAAAGGTTTACTAACCATGATTAAAACATTTGATGAAAGCATAATGAACATGAGCGCGCGGCAAATGATCACCTACAGGACAAACAGCTGCCAAAATGCAATCAGTCTTCAGCTGCCTATCACCAAGAGTGGCCATAACTTTTATGGAAAACTGATGACTAGCTTCGTGAGCTTACCTGTAAGGGTGAAAACTACTGGAGCCTTGAGCACTACCTCTGAGAAAACTGAATCCATGAATTTAATTTATAAGTGGGTTTGTGACATTAACGAGCAGAGCTAAGATTGTCTTCTGGCGTGGAGACCTACAGAGTACTCTGGAAAGGTTTGTCTTGAGGATCCTGAGAAGGTCCTCTCTGTCCTCTATTCTGCTCCCTCTCCCACTGGCCACCATGTGTAATGCCACCACACAAAGGTCTTCTGCTACAGGTTCAAGACTTGCCTTCTGCAGGCATCCTTTACTGAAAGGTAAGCACATCTCAGGAAAGCTCACACACTAAGCTGCAACCAGTCTCACTCTAGTCTGAAAATACTAGAAAACTGCTTATGGCTTTGACCATTAGTTGCAAGGAGTGCATAAAAGGAACAGGAAAGTGAGTTTAGAATAAACATGAAGGGATAATTTTGGATCTTGATATCAGGCACTCACACCTCCCCAGTGGACCACTGGGGGAAGAAAGAGTTTTGGGGTTATCTGGACAACCCTAAGAAAGGGAATGGACCGTCGGGAAAAGGAGAGAAGACAGGGTCTCCTCTAGTCTGACTGCAGTATACCACCCCTTCCACGATCATTATTTTTAACCCTGCAATTAGATTGTATAGTATTTCTGGTGCTGATATAAAATATAAATCCGTTTAATAGGTCCAAGACTTTCATGGAGTCTCCTGTTTAGTTACTTTACCCACCATATTTCTAGTGCTTTCACCATGCCCCCACCCCAATATTTAGGTGAATTTTTTCCTTTATTTAACTCCATGGTTTTGATGGTGACACAAGAAGGCTATCATGGGCTGCTGCTGGGGTTTGTGGGTAATGCTATAATGTTTGGGCTAGAGACCTGCACCCAACATACCCCCACCTGCTGCCAACAAGAATTCTACTGGAAAAAATGAGAAAGCAGCTTGTCACACACTATGATGAACGCAATTAACATCACTGGATTGGACACGTGAAGAATGTTAAAATGTCAAATGTTATGTTACATATAGTATATTTACTACAATAAAAAAAAAATACAGTTTAGCACCTGTATCCGTCCAGTCATCATGGCGACCCTATAGGACAGAGTAAAATTGCCCCCATACCGCTTCCAAGGAATGGCTGGTGGATTTGAACTGCCGACCTTTTGATTAGCAGCCGAGCCCTTAACCACTGCACCACCAGGGCTCCTAATCAATACAGTGCAAGAATAAAATCACAACACTCCTTGACTTAGGGTAAAATCCTTAAAAAGCAACATGGGATTTTTTTTTTTTCTAAATACAGCACTTTAAGCCAAATTCAATGATATAATGCCAAGGCTAAGAGGATGAAGCCCTTGAAATACTTCAAAATCCAAAGAGAACAATATAACTCTTTAGAAGTAACATCCCACTCTTGCTTGCCATGGACTCTTGACAGGTGAGTACCTTCCACAGAAGTTACTCTGGATTTGAAACATTAGAGCAAAGAGCACCTCTTCCTCCCACCCCACTCCCATCTACACAAATGCAGGAATATGGGGGCGCACTCTCAGATGGCTTGGAAATCAAAGTTCAAAAACTGCTTCATCAAACACTGTCTCCCAGCTTCGTTTGTGACTGAAGAGGAATATGAATTTAGATGTCAAAGCTCACAATTTGACACCCTTCACATGTCTTTCAAAATCACATATAAATGGTTCTTCATCCCTCTAGCAAGTAGAAAATAGCTACCCTTAGAGAAAAGGAAAGTGTTATTTATACTAGAAGATAAAATGTGACGGGGTTTGGTTAAGATCCTTGGTTTGCTCATTCAAAAGGCTACTGCTTCTTGTTCAGGCTGCCGCAGCAAATCTATGTAGCGGGGAGAAAAATTTCCTTCCCTCAACGATGAGATACCATCAGTAAGCAATTTATTAAAGAGCCCGCCATCTATTAATGGAATTTGGAACAATAGTGACTTGTTGAAAATAAGTATTTCATTCCAGGTTTGTTGTTTTGTTTTGTTTTGCTTTGTTTTTTTTTTCCAACTCACAAAATCCTTCAGTTGCCATATATCTTCAGTAAACTGTTAAAAGTGTTTTGCCCTTTGACTTTTTGGAAGCAAGCCCAGCAATGAGAGAGCACTGGCAGCTGCTGTCACGAACCCAATGGCGCTTATTGCTCGCTTGGCCTAGAAGGAAACAAGAGACAAACCAAAGACACATCTTATTCTAAAGGGATCTGACAACATCCACTGGGCTTGTTTCCTAAACCAAAGACCCGTATGAATGTACAATGGCTACCTTTAAAATCGCGGCACACAATTAAAATTCTGTATGAATGAAGATGAAGAACTAGATGTCCATGTTTATAATCATGCTAAATATATAAAGAGATACATAGAGGTATATATTTCTTGTAAAATATATTTCTTGTAAAAATTATAGGACCTGACAGTTTATAAACTTATTACATGCACAGTTCCGACTAATCATCTCAGCACACCTGGGAGACAGGTATATTGCTCACTCCTGTTCTATCAACCTTGGGCTTTAGGGAAGATGGAAGTCATTTGCCTGAGGTCATACCACCTGGCTGTTTAGGGATAGGATGGGCTTATGAACCATGTGTTTTCCCTTTTCTTCCCCTAAACACGCATCTTGTTTTGGTTGGGTCTATACCAAGATGAATATCTTGGTGCATATATATATATATATATATATATATATATATTTTTTTTTTTTCCTCTAGTGAAATAATTCCTATTTATAAAATAATTCAGGGATGAGATCTGGACTAAATATATATAAGCCCTTTTTAGGTAGATAATTTTTTTATTCCAATAAGTAAGTCAATACTGATGTTAACGATCAGGTCAAAAATTAATTTCTCATGTAGGCAAATGAAAATAAACCACTCCCAAGCTCAACTGTCCATAAGGGAGTTCAGACATTTATAGCTAAGGGCATTCATCATCATCATCATGAGGGATTTGATGAATATTCATGATTTTTAGGGCACGCAACTAATACTGCCTTCCATCTGCATGGGTTTGACTGCAATTTTATGACCCAAAGGTCCCATTCAGACACTCCAGAGTCATTAGGTATTTAATAAACAACATTTGTTCTTTGGGATTTAAGAATCAGGCTTTCATATAAAGCAAACATCTTTCCCAAATGACTCTGGGGACCAGCCCAAGAGCTGGAAAGCTTGACCCAGCTCACACATGAGCACGCCCTCTGTCCATCCCACAGGCTTCCGCCACAGTGCCTGTCACCCACATGCTACTGAAACATGACACCGCCTTCCTAACTGTAGCTACTTTGTTGGGGACAGACAGCAAGGCCCAGGGCCAGGAAAGAGGCAGTGTCAGCTTCCCGTGGGTATTCGCTCCATGATGTCATCCCGTGGAATGCAGGGATAAGACTTGTAACTGTGACCTCCTGCCCCCCAGCTGTCAGGGAGAACGGCGCTGGCAAACAACTGGGCCCTGACAAACCCTGTTTTAGTTTATGATTTTAATTTTGTTTATTTGCTTGTTAATTTATTTATTTTATATGGACTTATTCACCATGTTAAATTAGTGACTACCTAAACTCGCTCCCAGGAGAGAGTCAGAATGCACTGCAGCGCAGAGCTTATCACAAGGCATGTGGAGACCCAAAAGGGGCAGGGAGATACAAGACCCAGCACAAACTCCCAAAGAGGGCAGACCACCAACTAGACAGGGACCAAGGACGATAAGTCAAGCCAGCCCCGACTGCAACTGCAGGCAGACACTGAGACCCCAGGAAGGTCTTTTTCTGGGAAAAATCGAGCAAGCAGCAATGTAAAAATACAAAGGTGCGGTTGCTGTCTTTCAAGAAGGTGTCAAGTAGCAGCAGAGCGCGGATTAACCAGTGAGCAAGGTATGCACGGGCTTGCTTGTGCTTACTTACTCATCTGTAGTGCGCAATTTCACACAGGTGAGTAAGTAAGCACAAGTAAGCCCGTGCATACCTCGCTTATTGGGAGGTTCGTCCCTGAGCGGGGCACATCCCTGGAAAGCATCAGGATCCTGACGATAGGGTGGCCCCAGCTAGGTGCAGGTCTAACTTGACTGGACATCTTTCAGCCACTAGAAACCCAGGATGTTGGAAAAATCCCATAAATCCAAGAGGCCTGGGGAGGGGATGGAGAACTTGATCCCAAACCAGAATCCCCTGAGAACTCACAAGCCAGACACCGTCATACTCAGGCCACTGTCGGCAGGGCATGCAGTTCCCCAATCCCAAAACGCTCATGCCTTTCATGCTGCGTTCTAGATGACAAAATCCCATGTAATTTGGACGAGCCCTTGCAGTTACATGAAATGGGGTCTGACCTGCAAGGCTGAAACATCCCAGGATGTTCTTGGTTAACCAGAACGAGCAAGAGCTTTTACTTTACGGCTTACTTAGGATTAGAAGAGCTCCAACTCTGACTCTGGACACTTCATCCTTTATAGGGATTTCTGTCTGTGGGCCAGAAAAAAGGCCTCCATCAGAGGATCTACACATGCCCAGTGAAACGTTAGCTAAATCTGGAGTAGATGAGTCCGGACATCAGTGTGGCAGGATCACAGGTGACTGCAGGGTTTTTCAAAATGCCTCTTCCCTGCCCGTCTAAGGCTGCAGTGACCGGCATTGAAGCACAGTCAGGGCATATTCATGGGTCCACTTGTCTGAGTTATATGAGGGTGCTGCCATTTTCCACAAAGCTACACACATTTTAATAACCTTTTTAGACTATAACAGTAACAAATGATGGTTTTAGAAAATGTGACAAACACAGAAAAGCACAAAAATAAAAATAAAGTTGTCCCATAACCTTCCACCCTTTTAATCTTCCTTACACATTACATTTTCTTTTGAGGAAATGCATAACCATTCTCCAAGAAAACTTTTCTAATGTCAAGGCCCCTAAGCCTTTAGCCAGTTGTTATCAAGTGGATTCCAACCCATGGTGATCCCAGGTACATGAGAGTAGAACTTTGCTCCAAAAGACTTTCAATGGCTAAAGTTCCAGAAGTAGACCACCAGGACTTTCTTCTAGGGTGCCTCTGGGTGGATTTGAACTGCCAACCTTTTGGTTAGCGGCTGAGTGCATTAACTGTTTGCGACACCCACTTAAGGGAATCCAAAAAAACTAAACTAATACTAGCTATTATTACAAAATACTGTAATTAAAAATAATACCCATCTTAGGCATGCTGTTAATTGGGATAGATAAAATGTAACACACACTGTGTTATGAAGTTTCAAAAATCTCATATCATCTTCAAAACAACTTCAGATTATAGAGTAATCAAAACCAAACCCCAACGAGTCGATTTCGATTCATAGTGGCCCTACAGGACAGAGTAGAACTGCCCTGTAGGATTTCCAAGGAGCGGCTGGTGGATTTGAACTGCTGACTTTTTGGTTAGCAATCGAGCTCTTAACCACTGTTCCACAGAGCTCCAGTTTAGAGATTAGGAAACTGACATTCAACAGAGGGTTACAGAACATGCCCAAGGTAACTCAGCTAACAAGTGATGAAGGCAGGGTTCTAGCACAGACCAGCAGAACTCCAAAGCTTGGGTGGGAGTCTAAGGCCATCACGGCACCATCTGCATCAGAACCTGCTGGGACCAGTTTTACTGTTTGTGGAGGAATAATTAATCCTTCATGGGTCATTGAGTCTACTAGTTTCCAGCAACATCATTAGTTTTCCGTGCGAAGATGAGCAGGAATTTGTGTGTGTGCCTTAGGTGGCAAACTCAGTTCTGACTCAATTTATTGTAACATGTGAATAGAACGTTCAGAATGTTAATCTATTTCCTGACAAAAATGAATTCTCAATTAAATTATTTCCTAATGAAAACAAATGTATTCTTTCATTACATTGCATGTCCCATTTTCCCAAACTTTCATGAGAAGAGCTATCACCCCATTCCTTAGGAGTTAGTACAACTGATTCACCATTTCAAGATATTGGAAGCCTTGCATAAATTAGAGATGCTAAAATATTATTAAAATGTTATGGTATAATTCTTTGAATTTTCAAGGTCTGCTTTTTTTTTTCAGTTTTCATAGGTCACAATTCTGGAGGTTAAAAGCTGTTAAATTATTTTTGCTATTTTACTTTTAAAAATTAACACTGTTATTTGGATTTTAGATGAAGAAGACCTCTTCTTGAAAATAGTTTTAAATATTCATTCTCATACCACCCTAATAGGTTCTTGGGGCAAAACATCAAGGATGTAACTGGATTGGTGGGACTCCAGGTAGGAAAAAGGCAACTGTATCAAGGATACTGTTAGTTGGGAATCTGCCATCCTACAAAATGATGATGGTGACTGATAAAATTACAAGTGATCTTAAGACTAAAGTCAATTAATCCATTAAAAATCTTATCCAGAAGTCCCATGACTCAAAGGAACTACAAAAACACATTTCCTTAAAACTATTACTGCAAGGAAATGGAAAACATTTACAAACCCAAAAAGGTACGTCAGCCGTTGGCCTCTATCAACTACTGAAAAAGGATCTCATAATTACTGTCTACGTTTTTGGCAAAATGTACTCCATAAGGTCAACAGTCTTTTCAACATCTCCTTTTCAGTATATGAGATATGTATTTGAAATTGCTGAATGGTAGGGTAATGCAAAAAAACATTGAAGAATGACGGGCAATAAGATGGACAGAAGGATATGGTCTTGCTTCTATTTCAAGTCTCTTCCAGCCCCAAGCTCTTGATATCCATGTTCTAGTCTCAGTTAGGTCATTAACGTGATGAAAAACGTTGGACAACTCGATACCCTTCTCTGTCCTTCAGGGGTTTCTTATTTTCTCATTCTTTTCATTTGTTTTGAAGGCCTGAGAGCCTTATCAGTCAATAGTTCTCACGCTGCCAAGGTAAGAAGCATCTTATATCTCCTAAAGAAAAACTAACCTGCTCTGAAATTCCTTCTCCATAGCGAAGCAAAGTCACAAAATGCTCACAGTTGTTGTCAAATACGTCGTATGCCACCTCCTGTCCAATAACAAACTCTGATCGTTGCATGACTTCTTCCACAGGAAGAGGGGGGTATGTTTCGTCGTATTTATTGTTTATTCTATACGTGTCATTTCCCACGACCTCCTTCAAGAGCTGCATCTTCACCAGGGCCTTCCTGCTGAATACAGACTTGGTACTTGTAAACGACCCAGGAATGCCATCCTCTATAAGAAGAAGTCTAGTTAGTAAGATATTGTGGCCCAGCCCAGTGAACTCCAATGCCATCCAAATATGCTGGAAGGGCTGGGATGTCTAAACTCAGCTTTGTTCCTAACTTTTTATCAAACCAGAAGCCGCTTAATTTTACTTATCTTAAGGACTCATTCTATAACTTATCAAGAACACTCAGTACCGTATGAGTAAGAATGTAAGAAAAACTTTTTGAAAATTTATGATCTCCTCTTAGAATAAATTGGGTGAGAACACGCTACCCATTCTCTTTATTCATGGGGAAAAAGTTTACTATTGATCAGCAGTATTATTAGAGATCTTGGTATATATCTTTCTAACATAGTACAGATGAGATTAACCCATTGCTGTCGAGTCGATTCCAACTCATGATGACTCCATGTGTGTCAGGGTAGAACTGCACTCCATGGGGTTTTCCATGCCTGTAATCTTACAGAAGTAGATTACCAGGCCTTTCTTCTGTGGCACCACTGGGTGGATTCAAGCCATCAACCTCTCAATTAATAGCCAAGCACGAACCGGTACGATTATTGCCTGCTTCTTCTATACAGCAGTCTCTTTTGCAGTATGTGAACCCCTTCCAAACTTGTATGGGGCTCAGCAGTAGTGCACCATGATCAGACGGCTCCTTCTTATGCCTAAGCTGCACTCCTCACATCCACCTCCACTTCTTACTCTTGTTCTTTCAACTAGGCTTTTGCCTTGGCTCCTCATTTCCTGTTCTGAAACATGCATGGTAGCCCAGTTCTGCAAGAGGCCACCCAGGGTTAAGCTGGGGCCCTACTTTTCTCTTGTCAGTTCCTTTCGCCAAGAAACTAAGTCCTGACCCTGAATTCTAACCTAGTAGGCACTGTCCACCAGACGTGGCCCTGCGCTATGCCCCACCCACCTGTTAAAATGGCCCATTCCCCACCACTCCATCTTAGCTGCCTTCACTGGTGAACATTTGGTCCAGGAACTCCTGGACCCTGACTTGCCACTGTCAGTACCTGAGGCTGGGCGGACAATTCCTCCGTGGGCAAGTCTAATGCTAGGCCCTGGTCCCTCTCCAACGGCCCCTGACTGCTCTGCCTGTCCATATTCAGGTGAGTCATGAGAAGAAGTGTCTCTATATAAGCAGTGTTTAAAACTTGCCACTTCTCTTGCTTATATCCTCCAAGCTCCTTCTCATTTTCCAGTTAAAATCCTACACAATAAATGTTCTTACATGTTAACAGTTCTTACAGCAGATCTATCCAATTTAGAACTACTAAACTTTGTTGCTGTTGTCATTGCTTTTCTTTCCTTCTTTGACTAGCCCAATGCTCTCAATTTACAGATGAGGAAATTGAATCTTGGCGAGGTAAACTGGCTTGCAAAGGATCGTATAAGGAGATAACAATAGAAACAGGAATAGAATTTCCATCGACAGGGTCAAAGCTCCGTGTCTGAACCACATAAATATGGCGTTTAGGACAACAAAATTAGGAAACAGTACCAAATGCCATGTTATTTTCCGGATGGGAAAAGTGCGGAGATAATACAGTTTATATGCCTCGTGTTAATCTCTAGACCTTTCAGAAACTCTGAGTTCGGAATTGTAGATGCCATTTTATTTGCCCTTTCCATTCACAATATTTCAGAAGAAGAGACAAACAGCTTAAAATTTTGCAAAACCCATTTCATTAAAAATTCTCCGAAGTACCAAAATAGTTCCAAAAATAGACTTAGGCCTATAAACACTTCTCTTTTAAGAAATCTTGGGGAAAAAATACTCAGGTTATGTGTTATCTGCGTACATTTTTCCTAATAAGCAAATTGTGCTCATTTCTAACCATTTAAATAATATAAAAACAACCGTAAATGTGGAACTAGAAATCACCCACCACGCTGCCTTTAGAAATAACTCCTATTATTATTATTTTGTACTTTTATTTTTTTTAATCAACACATATGGTAGGTGTGAGCATGTGTATGTGTTCATGTGTGTATATATTACTTTTTTGCAAACTGGGTATTATATATTGCATTCTTTAATCTGGAATTCTCCAGTAAATATTGTATCAAGACTATTTCAGAAATATGATTTTTAATGGCTGATAATTATTGTGGCTATTGTGTCTGTCTACACAGCACCCCATCCCACCATTGCCTATTTCTTCCCGGAAAAGACTCTATCTGGGCCAATCATAGAATTCCATTCTCTGGGGCACGGGGATGTTCCAGTGATGGATACGCGACCACACTGGACCAAGCAGAGTCAGTCTCCATGATTTCTGTAATAGCAACAACAGGTAGGGAATAGCTCCCTCTCCAGCTGGGTCACAAGGATCTAAGACTGAGAGCCTAAGGCTGCTATGACCATTGGTTCAGTATCTTGGAAAGACATGGCCTGGGGATAGAGATAACATGTAGAAATGCAGATAGGAGACAGAGAGTTATGGTAGTGTTCAAACCCCTAGATCCAGGCATCCCTGAGGTCAGTGCCACCTCTACATTTTCCGCAGTTTCCCTCAGTGAAGCAATTAATTTGCCTTTTTGCTTAAGCTTATTCTAGTTTGCTTTCTGTTACTTACAAGTAAAGAACGTTGACAAGTACCAAAAATCCAAGAAACCAAACCCGTTGCCATCGAGTCGATTCCAACTCATGGCAACTCTACAGGACAGAGAACTGCTCCATAGTGTTTCCAAGGATCGGCTGGTGGATTCGAACTGCCGACCTTTTGGTTAGCAGCCAAGCTCTTAGTCACTGCATCAAGTACAGATACCCAATATTCTTCTGCAGCTAATTCACTGTCCATTTTTAAAACCATTATAAATAAAGTAGAAGTAAATACCCTTCTATACAAATCTTTGTCCACATCTCTAAGTATTTCCCAAGAATAGATTCCTACAAGTACAATTACAGGGTTAGGGTATACGCACTCTTTTAACTCTCTTACCAAGTGTTGTTAAATTATTTTTTTAGAATGCTTTTATCAATTTATACTTCCATCAACAGTATATTTGTGTTCATTTCACGATATCCTTTATCAACACTGACCATGATCATTTTTGAAGCTTTGCTAATGGTGTAAGTGTGAAATCTGTCATCGTTTTATTTTACAATTCCCAGATGACTAGAGAATTGAAATTTTTTGTTAGCTTTTTGCTTTTGTTCTTCTACAAGCTGCTCACAGCTCTTCACCCATTTGTTTGCTGGGATTTTGGTGTCTGCTGTTCCCTGAGCCTGGAACAATCTTTCCCCAGATTATCACGTGACTGGTTTTCTCACCTCTTTCAAGTTTGTCCCCAGATGTTACTTTCTTATGAAATATTCCTGGCCACCTTATTTAAGATGGCAGCATCCTCCCTGCCCGCCAGGGGCACTTCCCATTCCACGTCCCTGATTTATTTTTCTCCATATCACTTACCTCATTCTCACATTTACTTGGTCTATGGTCTGTCTCATCCCAATAGAACATAAGCCCCGCCTGGCGAGGAGATTTTTATGTATCCCCAGCACCTAGAATAGCATTTGGCACATAATAGGTAAGCTATAAGGAGCACTGGTGGTACAGTGGTTAAAGGGCTTGGCTGCTAAACGAAAGGTTGGTGGTTCGAACCCACCAGTGCCTCTGGGGGTGAAAAGACCTGGTGATCTGCTTCCTTAAAGATTATAGCCTAGGAAACCCTGTGAGGCAGTTCTACTCTGTCCTATCGGGTTGCTATGAGTCAGAATCAACTCAAAGGCACACAACAACAACAGGTAATCTATAAGGAGCCCTGGTGGGGCAACAGTTCAACACTCAGCTGCTAACTGAACGGTTGGTCGTTCAAACCTACCCAACTGCTCTGAGGGAAAAAGACCTAGCAATCGGCTCCCGTAAAGATTACAGCCTAGAAAACCCATGCGGCAGTTCCACTCTGTCCTATAGGGTTGCTATGAGTCAGAATTGGCTCAGAGGCGCCTAACAAGTAATCTATAAACACATGTTGAATGAACTGAAACCATCTATTTATGTGATACAAACACTGACTACTGTCATGTGTGTGGTAAACATTTTCCCTAGCTTGTTATTTACTTCTTACGTGTGACTTTCTTTTAATCCAGAGGTTTTTAATTTTGATGTTAATTAACCTTCGTGATTTCTTCAATACCGCTTTGGGCTTAGAAAGTCCTTCCCTAGACCTAGATCAGCTAGATTTATCTATTTTCTACATTTTATTTCTGTTTTGGTTTAATGATTCCATTCACGATCTCTTCTTGTAACAAGAAAACTAAAAAGCTCCCATGAGACACTGGACGCAAACCTTACCTAGAGGTGCTATGTTGATAACGTAACCATCACCCAGGTAGAGTGCCCAGTGCTGGTAGCCAGGACGGAACACTTCTATCAGGTCCCCAAGTTGGGGGTTGCCGGGGTACTTCAGACTAAAGCAACCATGAAGCGCCATCTGCAGGGCAGACACAAACAGAACTGATTTAAGGCCTCTGTAGGAGCATAGCCATACAGCATTTTTGGGGATTGCATTCCTTATTAATGACTTAGAGTCAAGCCACCGCCCGTTCCTTTGACTGAGTCCAATGCTGAATTACGTTTGTGCACGTTCGCACAAGTGGGAAAAGCATCTGTCTGTAATTGCTTAACTTTCTATAGTAACGTTTCTCATCCGGATCAATCCCAGGGACTCTTTGTTATAACCAGCATTTTATAGTTCTTTCTTTAAATCCAGAAATTCACGGATAATATAACTTACCTATGTACACAATTTCAAAAATATTAGTATGACACTGTATTTGTGACAGAAAGAAAAAATAAAAGGAAAGTAAGTTTATACTAATGTTTTACTTTGTAAATGCTCCATCTACGACTACATTAAATGGCATCATAAAATGTCTATATACTTGCGCTTACTTAGCATGAAAAAGTCAGGATTCAGGGGAAGATCAGAAGGCTTCCATACAGCAGCATTGGAAAATCAAAGAGCAGAGGTATAATGGATGTTAATATTCAAGGAACATTAAAACTGTGTAAAAAAATACTTTACACTGTAAAACACAATCTGCCATAGAGACAGGGTCCAGTTTGAGATGAATATTCAGCCAGATATTCAGCAGTAACGCAGGATACGGACATTTCTTCCTTGTTGGCAACTGTGCTGTGCATTGTAGCATGCCCTTGGTCATTGTGGCAACCACAAATGCCCCCACAGGTTTCCACCAATCCCCTTACCGTCCCACTTACTGTCTGATTCCTCACTTACTGTTTCCAGAAACGGGGCAAGGTGGTCAACAAAAGTGGGACAACTTAGAAGGTTGTGAAGTTCATCGTACTGATGGATATGTCTGAACATTCTCAGTCTGGTAGACTTGGAAGAGGCTTTTTGTTTTAAATCAATACTTTTCAGAAAGAACATATAAATTTCTGATAGTTGATTTTTATGGAAAGTTACATTTTCTATGTTTGACAAAGAGGTGGAGAGGTTTAGCAAGAGGCAGCTATGCCGATCTATCAACAATCCCAGGGAGATCCTAGGCTATGTGCATGCTGAATCTCTAATTGAAAACACAGTGTTCTTCATCATCTCCAACTCTAATGCAGATACATACACTCATTTACAAAATAAATCCAGGTGCCAGAAACGGAAACTTCCAAATCAGCTCAATTATAATTATAATAGCATAGGGTAAGGACTTGGGAATATAGACTATCATTTTTCTGGCACTCTACAAGTCTTTTTTACAACAATTAATATTGGAAGGGTGTTTTCTCAAGTATTTACATGCCATCTGTTGAAAACTTCAATCATCACACAGTCACAGAAACGTGGCCAAATGTAAGCTGTCCATCAGTTGAAAGTTAACTATCAAAACCACTGTATGGAAGCCATTTAATCTAACACCCTCTCAAATATGTTTGAGTCTTATTAGTATGACAGTTCACAATTTGGCCAAGTGGGTACTAAAAAGAAAAACATAACATGCTATGATATAAACAAACAAATTTCCCATGCGTGAATAGGAATCAGCAAGCACACATGGCTGCCTATAGAATTCCTAGACCTAGCCAAGTGTATGATAATAATCACCATTTGAACACAGGGTACTTTGTAGTATAACATTTTTTTTTTCCAAATGTACTATCTTAATTAACCCTACTTAATGAAAAACGAAAAAAAAAAAACCACACAATCATTTCAGTTAACTGTTACATTATTATCCCATTTTACAGATGAAAAGATACAGCGGCAAATGCCAACTTTTGGAAAATACCCACTGAAACCCTTATGCTATAAAATGTGGAGGGAAAAATAACTGGATTAGGTGTTAAAGATGTGATCTCTTGTCTCTGGCCTTCTTCTACTTGCTAGTTCTATGACTTTGGGCAGGTCACTCAAATTATCTGAGGCTCAGTGTCTTCATCTTTAAGATAGGAATGGGGGCAGTGACGGTTCAGGGATAAAATTCTCGCCTTCCATGTGGGAGACCTGGGTGTGACTCCTTGCCATGTTCCTCATGCACAGCCACACCACTTGTCTGTCAGCGGAGGTTTGCGTGTTGCTGAACAGGTTTCCACAGAGCTTCCAGACTAAGACAGGATAGGAAAAAAGACCTGGCAATCCACTTCTGAAAATCAGCCAGTGGAAACCCTTATGGATCACAACAGTCTGATCCCACTGTGCATAGGGTCACCATCCTTAGGGGCCAACTTGAAGGCAGTTGACAACAACAAGATGAGAATAACAATATGGGGCAAATTTATTATCTCAAAAAGCTGTTGGAAAGAACCCTTCATGAACCAGCAAAAAGCTTTTGCAAGGGCGTTGTGAACTGGCAGGAGTAACACAGGCGGATGGTGAGTGACAGGTGGCTTTTTGCAAAGATAAGGTTTAGATATTGGTTCATGGTCTACATGTGGTTTTACTTTCTTATCCTCTCTTGCAGCCACAATAATTCTGTGGGATGGATGATTCACTGCAAATTTTTAATATATTTAACACACTTTTAATTTCTGACATATAGTTCATAAACTGATTCATAAAGTGTAAATTCATTGATTTCATAAAGCCTATCAGAGCTATGGAGCCCTGGTGGCACAGTGGTTAAGAGCGATGACTACTAACCAAAAGGTCTGCAGTTCAAATCCACCAGCCGCTCCTTGGAAACCCTATGGGGCGGTTCTACTCTGTCCTACAGGTTTGCTATGAGTTGAAATCGACTTGACAGCCATGGGTTTAGTCCTATTCCAACTGACTCATTTTTAAAATAAGGGAAACAGAACCATGCAGGTAATGTGACTTGCCCAAGGTCATGAGCTATTTTACAAAAGATTTTCAACAAATGATGCTGGATCAATTGGACATCCATTGGCAAAAAAAAAACAAAACAAAAAAAAACTTAACCTAAGTCTCACACCTCATACAAAAATCAACTCAAGATGGATCAGGGTCATAATTGTAAACGTATAAACCTGTAAAACTTTTAGAAAACAACAGAGGAGAAAATATTCAGGATCTAGGGCTAGGCAAGGGGTTCTCAGACTTGACACCAAAAGCATGATCCATAAGGAAAAATTGATAAACTGAACTTCCTCAAAATTAAATGCTTTCACACTGTGAAAGACCCTGTTAAGAAGATGAAAAGACAAGCTACAGAGTGGAAGACAATATCTGCGAACCACATATCTGACAAAGGACTAGTCAGAACATAGAAAAAAATCTCAAAACTCAACAGTAAGAAAGTAAACAATCTAATTAGAGCATGAGCAAAAGACATGAAGTGACATTTCACCAAAGGTATACAGATGGAAAACACACACATACACACACACACACACACACACACGAAAAAATGCTCAACACTATTATTTGATTCTGACTCTTAGCGACCCTATAAAACAGAGTAGAACTGCCTCACAGGGTTTCCAAGCAGCGGCTGGTGGATTCAAACTGCCAGCCTTTTGGTTAGCAGCCGAGCTCTTAACCACTTTGCCACCAGGGCTCCAAGTCATTAGAGAAATGTAAATTAAAGTCATTATGAGATATCACTACACACCTATTAGAATGGCTATAATACAAAATAGTGACAGCATCAAATACTGGCGAAGATTCAGAGACACTAGGTCCCTCATACATTGCTGATGGGAATGTAAAATGGTACGGCCGCTCTAAAGAACAGTTTGGAAATTTCTTAAAAACTAAATTGGCAACTACTGTATGACCCCGCAATTGCACTCCTGGGTATTTAACCCAGAGAAACGGAGACGCATGCTCATACAAAAGCCTGTGCATCAACGCTCAGAGCAGCTTTATTCGTAACATCTCCAAGCTGGAAACAACTCAGATAATCTCCAACCAGTAACTGGTTCAACCAGCTGTGGTGCATCCATACCAGGGAATACTTACTCAGCAACAAAACGGAACCAACTATCAATACACACAGCAACCTACATAAATCTCCAGAGCATGAGTGAAAAAAAACAACACCGACTGCAAAAGGTTACATAGTGTCTGATTCCACTTATATAACATTTTTGAAATGACAAAGTTATTCAAATGGAGAAGAGAGTAGTGGTTTCCCGGGGTTACCGAGGAGGTGGGAGGTAAGTGGGCATGGCTATAAAAGAAAAACTTGAGGGATTCTAGTGGTGCTGGAAACCTTCTGTATCCTGACTGTGCCGATGTCAATATTCCGGTTGCGATACTGCACTGTAGTTTTGCAAGATGCTACCAGGAAAACTGGCTAAAGGCACAAGGTTTCGCTCTCTGTATTAGTTCTTACAACTGTATATGAATCTACAATTATCTCAAGATAAAAATTTTTATTTAAAAAAAAAAGGTGAGGAAGACCAGTGCTCTTTTTTCTGCAGAACAGAGAAAGGGCCAACATGGTAAAGTTAAATTGAGGCTGTTTTTAGCTGCATCTGAGGAAACATTTCCTTTCATTGAAGGCAATCCAAGAATGAAATGGGACACCCTGTGCAGATGGCAGTCTCCGTCACTGACAGTGTCTACACAGAGCCAGGGTTGATAAAAATATGATTCCTACGGAATGAGAGGTCCTCGAAGGTCCCTTTCAACTCTAACATTCTGATTCTATGTCCTAAAAACAAGTATAGATCTCATATCAGCACCACAAAGCAGACAGAATGATTTTCCCCACTTTAAAGATGCAGCAGCTGAGGCTCAGAGCAGTTCAGGCAGTCACTCAAAGTCACACAGCTGAAAGGGCAGCGCCCAGACGTGAGCTCACACCCGAATTCAGATGAGACTGCCTCCAAGGTCAGGCTCATGAACGCTTCTCCTCATTCACACTATGGTACCATCCTCGCTGACATTTCCACAGCCCTCCTCACACACTGGGAGACTGGCAATGACAATGGCTGATTATTATGATCACCATTTTAAAGACAAGGAAGTGAAAAGTCAGATGAGTGAAGTGTCAGACCTAAAACCACACAGGTACCGGAATTCAGTTCTACGTCTGTCATCTGACTCCAGCCTCCACGTTCTTTCTCTATACCACCGGTCAATGTTATTAACCAAAAGGATTGCTACTAAACAGTTCAGGTGGGGCTGGAAGCATCTCTACCTTAGGCAGATGACTATAACCCATCTGCTTGGGTGATCTGACTTATGTGGATCTACCCATTTCATTCAGGCCCAAGTCTGAATTTACTGCTTCATAAGTAGAAAATAACACAATACAAAATAACACAGGACCAATTAAAGGGACACTTGCAAAGTCCTCTACTGCAATCTGTGTCTGTCACCTGTGAGGCAAAAATGTTTCATTTTAACAGGACGTCTGCATAGGATTGCTTGACTAGTTTATAACAGATAAAGGCATAAAGCTAAGTAATTTCCCCTTTCGACTACCAAAACAGGCTGCCTTGTTTATAGCTCCATGTTGGTCCCAGGGGAGGTATCAAACGAAATAACTGCTCCCAGCACAGATAGGGAAAGACTGATTAACTACTGCTCACATCCTTGAAGCCACTTGTGTTACAGGAATACCAAAAGCACTTTTCACCCACTCCCCGACAGAATGCACAATCACAGGCCACCCCTAGTCCACCAATTTCCAGTTTGATTTGGACACTTTCCCATTCCAGCTACATTTTTCATCTGTGATCCCGCTACACTTTGATGCCTCCGTGAAGCCCTGCATTCCCAGACTAATTCACAGACGGGGTAAGGCTGCAAGGAATCTTGGTTTGATATTCTCACTCTACAGCTGAGGGTTCCACTCATGGGCAGAATGAATCACCCTCAGCCACAGCAATGTCATTCTCTGCTTGGAATCCTTCCAACAGTCCCATCCTGCCCCCTCTATAATTTTGGCCTTTTTGTACACCCCTACATTCTAGGCAAACCGAACTCCCCACCCTCACCCAGAGTTGTTTGTTTTACTAACACTGAAGCTTCTACTTGGAACCCACTGCCTACCACTTCCAAACGTCCCGAAATGACCCACTCTTAAATACCCAGGGCAGATGTCACTGCCTCCACCGGGCCTTCCTTCAGTCAGACATAGGTGACGTCTTCTTTTGAGCTTGGACAGTGGTCTGTATCTAATGACTCATTCCACTGTCTACACCTGCATTAGTTACCAGTGTCTGGGGAATTTCTCTTCTGCTTGATAGGAGGGCTGCTTCTTGTTTCTCTCTATCCCTTCACTTTCCAGCAGAGTGCCTGGCACAAATAACTGCTGGGCAAATGTTTAATGAATGAAGGAATGAGGAACCCAGGCCCAGGGAGGCCATGAGCGGCTGGGTTTTTCCAACACATGAATCTTGAACGCCAAAGTAACACCATCATCCATATTTCCAAGATCTAAACTTTTATAATAATAACTTGTATCATTATTCATATTCCCTTCAGTGAGGGCCATAAATGTAAAGGGCCCTGGTCTGAGAATACGCAGACTGGGCTTCCAGTCCCAGTTGTGCCACTTTGTAACTGTGTGACCTGGGGAAGCAAGCTTCTTTTTCCCTGAGGGCCTCCGTTCCCCCATTTGTTTTTAAGAGGGGGTGGGTTGGATTAGATGCTAATAGATTAGATGCTAATGGTCATTCGAACTCCACCTGTTTTAACACGTCGCTGAAACACGTTTACCTTGGGGTCTTGAAGTCCTCCCTACCGCCCTCAACCCAACACACCTCACTCTTAAGCCGGAGTCGTCTTTCCCCACAGGCCAGCTGCCGCGGGTGTTTGGGGGTCTCCCTGACCTCACAGCTGCTACCCTTCTTGCTAGCGGCCATGGAACGACTCCATCGGCAGACGACAAAGGCCGAGGCGCCAGCCGCCGCCGACCGCCGCTCAGCACCGCCCTCCGGAACCAACGCCAGCCCCGCCTCGCGGCGCCGCCCCAGAGGAGCCGGCGCGGGGACCGAGGCTGGGCGCGCGCGCGCGCCATGCCTGCAGCGCCCCCATCGCCCGCCGCCGGCGCCCCGGAGGCGGCCGCACACGCTCGCTCGAGCCGCCCGCCCCGGAGGCGGGACGCGTCTGCCTGGGTCTGCGTGCACAGCCATGAGCCCCCCTCTCCGCGCAAACGGACCTCCCGCCCTTCCACACGCACACACAGCAACAGGCACGCTTTCACGCTGCACCTTCCTCACCCCAAGGACCATGAGCACAACACCTGGCCTGCATAGGCCCGCATGCACAGCCGAACACACACAGAGACTCACTGTTCAAAGGGTAGCCCCAGCGCCGCACGGTGCCTAACCAAAGACACACCCAGCCACTTGGACACTTCTGCAACAAACTTGTGGTCCCAGTAGTTGCGCTAGGCTCTCTGGTTGTAAAGATAAAGCGTCTCTTTGATCTCGGAAATGTTCGTGTACACTCATGAAAACACACTACACCCACAAGAAGTATTCCCTTGCCCTTCAAGCTCTACACAAATTGCTAAATGGCAGAAGGGACCCTGGTCCCTGTGCTCCAGGGAAGCACCTTTGTCTTTGACTCAGCAAAGGGTGGGAGGAAGGAGTGGCCTTTAAAAAACTCCCTGCCACCCACCGCAAACACACACACACACACACACACACACACACACACAAGTAGTTTCTTCTGAGCTTGATCCAGCACCCAACGGCCGTGAGGACACACAAGAACGCCCCTCCTTCGACACCCCTCCCAGTCAACCACCCCCCCAGTCTAAGATCCAACTTAAGAGCGGGGCGAGGGGAGAAAGGAGAGCAGAAAAAGGAAGAGTAGGCCAGCCGCTAGACCTCCAGATACTAGTTTGCCCCAGCGAGAAATTTACCTGGTTCCCATGAAGGTGAGGAAGGGTCTTGTTAAAGACAAGCCTCACTCAGGTCCCTACTGGTCCCCACTGCCCCTGCCCTGCCCTGCTCCTGCAAAAGGTTCTGGTGCTAGACAGATGAGCAGGTCCCTTGTTCAGCGTGACTTGGATGCATGTGACAGAGCAAGGCCTGACTGACTCTCTTTAGACCAGGCAGGCCAGCAGAGGCCACCAGGAATACAGCCATGTGAGTTTAAAAATAAAGCCGGGGTAAGGAGAGGACCGGTATCATTTTTTTCACTGTTGAGAAGGGGAGGCTGGGAATATTAACCAGCTAAGTGTCTTTCCTGTGAGGAAGGCCTGCCTGGCAGAGTTTTTGTTAAGTGGACTTTTTGGAGCACTGCACAAGACTTTCCTTCAAACATGACCTAGATTTTTACTCTGATGTAAACGGAATCTTGGCTAAAAGGAAGGAATCTTTCCACTGATTCAAAGGCTAAAGTAGCTCATTAATTTTATGTGCTTTGGCACAATGGGATAACAACCATCTAAATATGCAACTCTTTTTATAAAGGAATTAGGGGCTGTTATGAAGGTTAGAAGGAGCCCTGGTAGCACAGTGGTTAAAGCTCAGGGCAGCCAACCAAAAGGTCAGTGATTCAAACCCACCAGCCACTCCCAGGGGAGAAAGATGTAGCAGTCTGCTTCTATAAAGATTACAGCCTTGGAAACCCTATGGGGCAGTTCTACTCTGTCCTCTAGGGTCGCTATGAGTCGGAATCAACTCAACAGCAGTGGGTCTTATGAAGGTTAGGGGTGAAGTCTGCAGGGTCGGAAACCATAGGTTTGGCTTTGACAGCTTTGGAAGCAGAGCACATAGGAAGATGGTATTGAAAGCATCTAGAATCTCAACGTAATTTTGGGCGAAGTGGGCAGGAAAGAACACCTGAGGGTTGTAGCTTTGTTTTTTTGTTTTTTTTAATGTGTTTGTGTTTTTCTTACATGTTCCTTATTGTGGAGCCCTGGTGGCACAGTGGTTAAGAGCTTGGCTGCCAACTAAAACGCTGGCAGTTCAAATCCATCAGCCACTCCTTGGAAACCCTATTGGGCAGTTCTACTCTGTCCTATAGGGTCACTGTTATGGACTGAATTGTGTCCCTCAAAAATATGTGCCAGCTTGGCTAGGCCATGATTCCTAGTATTGTGTGATAGTCCACCATTTTGTCATCTGATGTGATTTTCCTATGTGTCGTAAATCCTACCTCTATGATGTTACTGAGGTAGGATTAGAGACTGTTATGTTAATGAGGCAGGACTCAATCTATAAGATTAGGTTTCATTTTGAGTCAATCTCTTTTGAGATATAAAAGAGATGTGAGCAGAGAGACAGGGAACCTCATGTCACCAAGAAGGCAGCACTGGGAGCAGAGTGTGTCCCATGGACCAGGGAGTTCCTCCACTGAGAAGCTCCTAGACCAGGGGAAGATTGATGTCAAGGACCTTCCCCCAGATCCGACAGAGAGAGAAAGGCTTCGCCTGGATCTGGTGCCCTGAATTTCTGCTTCTAGCCTCCTAAACTGTGAGAAAATAAACTTCTCTGTGTTAAAGCCATCCACTTATGGTATTTCTGTTTTCTGTTATAGTTGCACTAGATAACTAAGACAGTTGCTGTGAGTCAGAATCGACTTGACGGCAATGGGTTTGGTGTTTTTTTTTTTTGGTTCCCTACTTAATCTATGTTTCGAGTTATGAATTGAACTGTATGTATCTTTCAATGCTCTTTTAATGTCTCAAAAAGAAAGCCATAAATGTGCATTTGCTTTATGTTCCTTGAGTATTTCAATTGAGTCTTCACCAGAGGAAGTGGTTCATAATTTTATACAGGAGCGTTATCGTGAGCATTTATAAAGCTGTCCTGCTTATGAGCTGAATTTATTATGTTTGCCAGGTTAATCTGTTTTCTCTAATCGGACACTTGATCATCCCGCCTCCTCCCTGCGTTACGGATTCATGAATGTGAACTGAGGAGAGATGTTCCGACAGAGGAGATGATAAATTAGCTTTTCATTTGGGAGGTGTTTGTGATTAAATGCTTCAAAATAGAATTTGCTGTTGTTAGGTGCCATCGAGTCGGTTCCAACTCAAAGTGACTCTAGGCACAAAAGAACTAAACACTGCCTGGTCCCGCGCCATTATCACAATCATTGCTACGTTTGAGCCCATTGTTGCAGCCACTGTGTCAATCCATCTGGTTGAGGGTCTTCCTCTTTTTTGCTGAAGCTCTACTTTACTGAGCATGATACCCTTCTCCAGGGACTAGTCCCTCCTCATAATATGTCCAAAGTATGAGAGACAAAGTCTCACCATCCTCATTTCCAAGGAGCACTCTGGCCGTATTTGATTTGTTCTTTCTTCTGGCAGTCCATGGTATATTCAATATTCTTCGTCAACACCATAATTCAAAGGCATCAATTCTTCTTCAGTCTTCCTTATTCATTGCCCAGCTTTCGCATGCATGTGAGGCGATTGAAAATATCATGGCTTGGGTCTGGCACACCTTAGTCCTCAAAGTGACGTCTTTGCTTTTAATTAAAATGAACTAAATCTTGTAATTTTACTTCTAGATCCCTGCCAAGTACAGATAAAATGCATTTGGTTAAGAGTAAATTCAGCGTGATGTGTGAATGGAATTTGTAGAAGAAACAGAGAAAGCTTTGTAGTTCTGGAGAGCCCCGCGTCCTCCTCTCATCCCTGCAGATAGGAGAGAGAATCACTCACTGGTGGTACCCTATGGATGAGCAGCACAGAATTAAAATTTCCATTCAGAAAGGATGAGGAATTAACCATGGGCAAAAATAGCCAAAGTTTGTCTGGATGTAGAGCTGTAATCTTGGAATCTCAAGGGCTACACATGGAATGTGATTAAGCCAGATGTTAGGTTATAACCGAATAACTAGTTCCTGTTGATTTGGCTATTAAGTGAAGCAACACGTAGCTAGCACTATCAGTTGCTGCCAGTTGGGTTATATGGGTTGAAACATATTGAAATCAACCATAACGGAGATGATTCAGCCATGTTTGTTGTTAAACAAATGAAGTCCATGTTCCAGTAAAAATCCGGTGAGGTAGCTAGAGTCGTTATTTGCCTTTGTAACACATGGAGACTAAAAGCAATTGGCATAGAGTGATATTGGACAGAATAATCAAAACAGCCCTGTATTTTGTGTGCATGTGTGTCCATTTTGCACTAGGCAAAGCACTTTTTCTCCTTCGATCCACACAATGAACCTGTGACTACGCAGGACCCGGCAGTTGCCCTGAGGTCTGAGCTGTGGAGGAGCTCCTTGCTCAGCTTCTCTTGGGGTAGAGCTGAGATCAGGCCTCTTAGTGAAGACTCATCCACTCCACAGACTGCCCCTTTTATTAGACAGTGATGGCAAAACCCTTCATTTAGGTTAAACATACGCACACAAACTGTACCAATACAAGGCAGATAAGACCTAGTGAGAACACAGTCTGTTTAAAGATCTTGTGGGCTTACGTGAGATATTTGCTGGGATTGTTGGTTCTGTGAGCGCAGTGAGTTGAGTTGGTCATTCAAATAGCTCCCCCCGCCCTAAAAAAAAAACAAAAATCCGTGCTGTTAAAGTAAAAGCTTTCTTCTTGATGGAATATCCAGGCAATGTGTCTGCTCAGATTGGATTTTTGTACAAATTGCTCAAGCCTCCTATTCAATCTGCTCTGTACATTTCTGGTCAATATGATTGGACCTAGACATCTGTTGCCTTATAGATTCTTCAGGTACTGCACTTCCAGGCTGTGTGAGGTCTCTGTGAGTGCTGCTTCCCAATGGTTACGTTCATTTAAAACTGCTAAGCTTGATAAGTTAGGCTGAGCCAAGTCTCTGGGGCAGTCAAGGGCTCAGATGAAGAAAAGAATTACTAAATGGAGCCCAGGTCAGAGGCATAGAAAGCTATTAGCAAATAGCAAGGAAGGAAGAAAATAGGCATGTCTTCTTTTATTTATTTTTTTAAATTGTTTT